TATATATATATATATATATATATGATGGAAAAAGACAGAGATACTGTATTTTAATAAAAAGTTGACCTATTTCACTTATCTTACAGGTCTTTAAGCTATTCCTCAGTGCTAACAGTTGTACAAAGTTTTTTTTTTAAGTTCTTTTTCACAGCTATTAAATGAGAAGATATTTGTAAAATGAAATGCCATATTTGACCTCACTTCTGGTCTTCATGAGAAATTTGATGTGCCTATGTGAATCGTGTTTGATAATAGCGGTTCATTTAATGTTTAAAGTTTTATACTTGATTAATTTTCTGATGACTTCCTAATAAAATATGGATGAGAAGGAGGTGTTGAACTTCCTTCCAGATCGGAACAACAGCAGTCCAGCAGCCTGTGCATCTTTGCCAAGAGACTCCTTGCATGGCTAGTTAGAGATATGGACAAACCTCCCAAAGGACAATAACAGAGGAATAAACAATAGATTGGAAAGATCTGTAATCAGCTATAGCATATAGTTTGACTTGGGCAGGGAAGGGCACAGCCTCTGGGGTTCACACCCTGCTCTGCCACTTCCTAACAGCCGTCATTTTTCAAGGATTTGCCATGTTTTGCGCATAATATGTGATGTCTCATTTCATCTGTGGGTCATTATACCATGGGTTCCCACTCCCTTCGTGTGGTTGGGCTAAGAAACAGAGGCTTACATCCTACATCTAGACATATGGTAGAGTCCAAGAGTGGTAGTCAGAATTTAGAACATCTAATTAAGTATCTGATGGGAGGTTATACTAGTCAGGTTCCCTTTACTACAACTAAATACTGAGGCAATTAACTTAGAAAAGGCTGATGTGCCTCACAATTCGGAAATTCACATCCAAGATCAAGTGGCCCATTGGTTGGGTCTTGAATGAGGTTGGCAGGTCACGATGTTAGCGTGAGTCTTTGTCAGAGTGATTCAAGCACTACCCAGGAATCAGAGAGAGGATAGGGCAGGCTCTCATGATCCCCTGGGGCATTCCCCCAGCAACTAAGAACCTCCACAAGGCCCCCACATGATTTGGGGGATAATCATCCACTCCTTAGCAGGGTCACCTCCATAGCCTCTTGACCTCCTTGTTTTATTTGATAAACATAGATATCACTTACCATGTGCCATTCATACATTTAATCCTCATAGCAACTCTACCAAATAGGTACTATTGTGATTCCTACTCCACAGATGGGAGACTGGAAGAAGCCATCTTACTGCAGGACAGAGGAACGATGCAATCAGTTGAAGTATTAGCTTTCAAGGCCCAGTGGCATCCTCAGAACCATGTGTTCCCATAGGGATTGTCCACAGTTCCACATCTACAGAGCTCAGGGACATAGCCGGGTCCTGGCCCGGCTGCCAGTACAGGCACCCGTCTCCAGGACAGGCTCTTCCTCTGTTTCTGTGAATTAGTCCAGGTGGAAATGTTCCCAGGGTTTGGAGAGAATTGGCACTGTTCCAAGAAAGGCCAGCATTATATTTCATCAGTGAAAACAAAGAATTGATCATCAGGTCCTGTAAGGATGATTTATGCAGTCAGAAGTTTTTAAATGGCCATGGTAAGCATCAATAAAACTTTTTTTTTTTTTTTTTTGGTACTAGGGATCGAACTCGGGCTCTTGCAAGGCAGGCAGCGACACCACTGAGCTAAATCCCCGGCCCTTAGTAAAACTTTTTTACATCACTTACTTGTGCAAAGTTTCTTGTTGATGGTGACTACCAAGAATTTGAGGGCTGGGGATTTAGCTCAGTGGTTCTGCTGCCTGCCTTGCAAATACAAGGTCCCGAGTTTAATCCCCGGTATGAAAAAACAAACAAAACAAAAAAAGATTCTCAAACAAGAATTTGAAGAACTTTTCATTTAAGTCTTGATCAGGAATTGAGGGTGACCAAGCAAAAACACCTAATGTAAGTTCAGAGATTTAGCTCAGTGGTTCTGCTGCCTGCCTTGCAAGAGCAAGGTCCCAAGTTCAATCCCCAGTACCAAAAAAAAAAAAAAAAAAAAGGTAAAGTTGGGGGAAATGTTATTTGGAAGTTTCATATATATTTAATATTAGATATTGAAACTATTATACTTTGTGTTTTATATTTCCAAATTTAATTATGTAATATAAAAAATATAAAATCATTTCATCAAATACCTTGCCACCATCACCCCCATCCTATCCTGTCAACTCAGGATTTTTCCTTATAACCTATGAAGGGCTGGAAACCTGGGCCAGTTCTGCCACAGAAGAGTTTAAGAGCTGATAGAGCTGTGGATTCTGAATTTTCTTGAGACATAAATAAAAATAGTAGGGAAATTCATTTCATCCAGCACACAGCAGTGCACCAAGGTATTGGTTAAAAGTGGTGGGCCCACCTGTAATCCCAGCACTCCAGAAGTTGAAACAGGAGGATCACAAGTTTGAGGCCAACTTGGGTTGAATAGTGAGACCCTGTCTGAAAAAGCAAAATACAGAAAAACAAACAAAAAAGAAATGACATGTAGAGAGAGAGCGGAGATGGACTACCTCTGCATATGTATCGCACTGAGAACTTAGGATCGGCAGTTTGCCTCTCAGCAACTCCTCCAATCATTGGCAAACTCTTGGATTGTCTTCTGAACATAAACTGAAAATAGCCTTTTATGTTCTCTGTTGTGTAAACCCAAATTAGTTTCGTAAGTGGGTCCTATGAGCAAAAAGTAGGAGAAAGGAAACAGGAAGAAACAAGCCTTCTCATTGTCTTCGGCTAAACTGGAACAGGCTGGGGAGGTCAAAAGGACAAGGAAATAAATTCTGGAAATACTCGTGCCCTACAGATTGAGAATTGCTCTGCCTGATGAAAATATTTCTGCTCTTCTTTCTTCCCCTCCCTTCTCTTTCCTCTCTCTTCTCTCTTCTCTGCTCTTCTCTCTCCTCTCTCCTCTCTCCTCCTCTCTCTTTCTCTCCCCCGTCTCCTTCCCTCTCTTCCCTCTTTCCCTGTTTTTCTTTCCTATGTTTTCTCTTTCTTGCTTCCTTGCCCAGTGAGAGGGCAAGCATGGACCAGGACTTCTCCTATGAGAAAACCAAAGTGTTGCGTCCCTTGAGCCAGGTAGGTGGCCAGAAGCAGGGCTGAATGGGTTTGTCCTGCCACGTTTTCCTTGTGCCACGTGAGCACCTGCCTTTCCTGGAGCAAATGTGCAGAGAAGACACCGGCATCTTCTCCTGCAACACCTTAGGCAAGGAGGGGCAGAAGCAGGGACTTTGAAAGAACTTCACTCTTCCCAATTTTCGGCATCATTCCTTACGCAGTTCAAGGAACATTTGTCTTATTAGAAATAATTTCCCTGATTGTGTTATTGGCTCCCTCCAAAGTAACAGAAACCCACTCAGAGGAAAAAATTAAACAGAGAAAGAGTTCATCTTCACCAGTAACACACAGGAAAGTTCAGAGTGAAGGCTGATGGTCTTTATCCCTCACCTCAGACAGCTGTTGGTCTCCTCTCCTCTCTATTAACCTTGTCCTGGAGTTAGTGAGTGACCATGTGGGTTATGGCAAACAGTGGTGGGTTCATCAACACATGGAAGGACCTGGGCGGGACCAGAGTGCCATCCCAACGAGGGAATATTGTCTCCCTGTCTCCACGTCCACCAGACCAAGCAGAAGTTCTCCATTCAAGAGAGGGGCCAAATTACCGTGTAGTCAACACTGTGACTTCTCTTCCATGGCATAAGCAAGTAGGAACTTCTGCAGAGTCAGAAAAGACAACCGACCCCAGATAAACCAGCTACGACAGCAACTTCACTTCTCGGAAGACATTCTGTTACTCTGGGTGATACATGGGAAAACAGGAAGTTTGGGGGGTTTTAGTTCCCATAATTAGATTTTATTCTGTCTTTTAAAGCTCTAAGTAAAAACAAAACTACTGTTACAGATGCTGGGGTTCCCTGGGGTCCCTTTCAGGCTCTTGTCTTATTCAAAGAATTGGACAAGACAAAAAACATAGAGGTTTTATATTTATTGAAGGTAAAAAGAGAGAGAAAAGTGCTCTGAAAAGGAGAATTCTGCAGAATGTGAGTCATTTAAAGTAAGAAGATCTTTGCTGGTCATGGTGGCCATGCCTGCAATCCCAGCACTCGGGAGGCTGAGGCAGGAGGATCGCTGTGAGTTCGAGACCAGCCTGGGCTATCTAGTGAGTTTCAGGTCAGTCTCAACTACCTAGTGAGACCCTGTCTCAAAAAAAAAAAACAAAAGAAAAAAACAAAACCCCAATAAATAAATAAATAAATAAATAGTAAGAAGAAAAGTGCAATCCACCCACAGAGTACAGGGTGGCCCAGTGAGCAGGCTCACAGCTGCCATGTGCTTCATGGCCACTGTCTGCTATGCCCCCATTCTGATGTCAGAGCCACTCAGAAACCTACTTCATCTCATGCCAGAACTGAAGATGGCCCCTCTGATCAGGTACAGGGCTTGGATGCTGCTCTGCACATATGTCCTGAATCTCTGTGATTGACAAGTCACACCCAATTGCCCAGCCACACTGCCATGCCCTAATCTCCTGCCTCACTACCATTCTGTTTAACTATAAAAAGCAAGACTAAATAATTTATTGGTATTTAAACAGAATAGTTATTTGCAGAAAATGTAGACCGCAAATCATTATTTTAGAATATTTTCTTTCCTTCTCCCCCCCTTTTTTTTTAAAACAAGGTCTCACTGTGTAGTTCAGGCTGGACTTGAACTCACTACGGAGCCCAGACTGGCCTAGAACTCATGGCAATCCTCCTTCCTCGCTTCCCAAGTGCTGGGATTACAGGCTTGCACCACCAGCACCTGGCTTGGCCTGGCCTAAATAGTGAGATCCTTCTCAAAAACAAAGAAAAGAAAAAAGAAAGACGGAGGGGTAGGAAGTTGGCAATTATATTTGCTCTTCCTACCCATTAAAAATATGACGATTTTTAATTTATTGAGATTGCACCGTTACAAATTCTAACCAAGAAAGTATTTTCAATCAACAATCATTTGAGGTCAGATACAATCAACTTAGGCATTTGCAAATATCCACAGGAAGGAAGGCTGTACTGTGAGCACTGGGATCCTCCAAGGAAAGAGAGTGTAGGCCTTGCTGTCTTGATAATATTATAGACAGTAAGTTAGGTAACGTATTATAGGAAGTCAGACAGGGCTGAGCCCTCTAAATCAAGATAAAAGGTGAAAACAAACGTCACTTGGGGGCCAAGCTTTAAGATAGTGCCGAAAGGATGAGGCCTACATACTTCCCCAAGGGATGAGCTAACTGGCAACACCTGGTCTGGTAAAGTCTCGATAGGTCTCAGTCGCCTCAGTGGGTGACCAGGACAGCCAGATCTATCACCTCCTGAGGAGTTCTCTGTTCTTTCCCTGTACTCCTGCTAGTGACTTGCTTCCCGTTGGGTCACTATCACCTAAGCAAGTATACATGTAACTTTATTGGTTGATCATACCTTTAGCCCACTTCGTACTCGTGGTTTTGCTCTATAAAATTTCCCTGTAAAGTGGGGTCCCTGGCTACCCAATCGGGATCCCTCCTGCCTCTTAGGAGCTATCATTTCAATAAATATTTTCCTACCCTTAACTTCCATTGTTCCCAGACATATCAGACATCTAACAGGTTGGGAGTTACAATATTTCCCTTATATTATTTGGAGATCCACATTTTATCTTCTATATCAATGGCAGTACAGAGGAAAGACCAGATGGCTTCAAACAAGACCTTTTCTTTTAAAAATGTTCCTCCACATGTTCTGAATTATACTTTTTCTTGAAGTCCATTAATGCCGTGAGGAAGCAGATCAGTCAAAATGAGAACCAAGACCTGTCATGTAGAGGTACAAGATCCTAACAATGAATGTAACCGTACTGCATCCCTAAAATGTACCAATAAACTCAATAAAAAAAAGTGTCGTGGGGCTGGGGATTTAGCTCAGCGGTTCGGTGGCCTGCCTTGCAAGTGCAAGGACCCAAGTTCAATCCCCGGTACCAAAAAAAAAAAAAAAAAAAAAAAGGTGTTGCAATATTCTAGAGGAAATATCTCATGCATGTGAAGGTTTCTATTTGATGCACATTTCTGTATTAAATGTTAGATATCTTAAACTTAACATGTATATATCTGTAAGTGGGATCATGATAAAAGTTCTATTAAAAATAATAAATAAAAATTAAAAGCAAAAAAAAAAAAAGAATCTCAGAATTAGAAAACAGTTGTCTTCCCTGAAGCAAGCTCTAAGGCTCTGTCCCATGTGACTTAAAATTAAAAGGCCATCAGCTAGGGTTTGAAAATCCAAATTCTATGACCCCAGAAAGAGTCTGAGCAGGTGAAGGAATGCAGGCTGATCCTTTACCGCCATGATTTCTAGTCACTCGCTTTAAAAATCCATAGCTCTCTGCTTCCTCTTCATTTATAGCTCACACAGTGCTATCACTAATGATCTATTTTCAAGTTGGCTGATTTTTTCTTCTTCCAGTTCACAGCTGTTGAACCTCTTTAGTGAGTTTTTCATTCCAGTTATTGTACATTTTTAACTCTGGAAGTTCCATTTGCTTATTTTAATAACTTCCACGTCTTTATTGATAGCATCTATTTGGTTGGGGATTTTGGAGGTTTTTTGTTTGGTTGGTTGGTTGGGTTTTTTCTGTTTTTCCTTTTTTTTTTGAGACAGGGTCTCACTCTGCAGTCTAAACTGGCCTTAAATTTGAGATCCTCCTGCCCCTGAGATTACAGGTGTACACCACCATGGCTGGTCTTCTATTTGATTTTAAATTTTAAATGTTTAAAACATGGTTTTCTTTAGTTCTATGAACATGTTTATTTCTTGGTTCTTGTTTTTCCCCATACCCCTGCCTTCCCTTCACCCCCTTCACCCTTCTCTATTTACAAAGACTTTGTTTCCAATTTTTCCTTTTTTCACATTTTTTCTTTTCCCTATGTCCTTTCCCCTGCCCTTCCCACTTCCCCTTTAGCCATCTTCCTATTTCACACTATCAATTATACCATTTGAACCTTATTTACATTTTTAGTTTTTCACACCAGAGAAACTATTCAGTATTTACTCGTGTGTCCTATTTATTTCATGTTTATTAATAGATACTTTTTATAAGAAGTATTTGCTGAATTCAACATCTAGGCTTCTATCAGGACAAAAAAATTTTTTTTTGTTTTTTTGAGACAGAGTCTTGCTTTGTAATTCAGCCTGGCCCAGAACTGTCTATGTAGCCCATGCTAGCCTCGAACTCCCAGAGATCCTCCTGCCTCTGCCTCCAAGTGCTGGACTTACAGGTACACACCACTACACTGGGCCTAAAAGGAAAATTTCTGCTTTGACTGCTGTTTTTTCCCTATATATGACACAACATTCTTATTTACCTGAATGTTTCATATATTCTGTTGAAACTGAATATTTCTAATCACATATTGCAGAAACCCTTAATTCTTTTTTCTTTTTAAATTTAGTACCAGGGATCGAACTCGGGCCCTTGCACTTGCAAGGCAGGAGGCACAACCTCTGAGCTAAATCCCTGGCCCAGAAACCCTTAATTCTTATGCTGTCACTTCCTCCAGAGGTGGTTGTTTTTATTGCTTAGTTGTTTAATGACTTGCCTGGATTAACCCGTAGATTATATATTTCCTGTAGTGTACTGACCATTAATATCTCTGTTCAGTTTCTTTTTAAAAATTATATTTGCTTTTATTTTTAAACCGCCTTTCAGTAAAGCAATCTTCAGTTAGCACAGCTTAGCACTAACGCAATGATTAGTCAAACATCTTAAGCCAGTAAGATTTCCACATTTTGCCTACAAATCTGTTTATGGTCTACAGAATATATTTCAAATTCAAGAAATTTACAAATTAGCTGTATATTCACTGAATTTCTCATTTAGCTAGTGACGAGTAGTTCAGTAAATGTTAAAAATTATTCATTCTAACCAAAAGACAGAGACTGCCAGACTAGATTTTTTAAGACATAAAATTCAAATATATAAAGAAATCTTACAACTCAACAATAAAAAGACAAACAGCCCAATTTTAAACTGAGCAAAGGATTTGAAGCTACGTTTGTCCTAAGAACAAG